CACTGTTTGATAAGGATGGTCACGAAATCTTCCGACATAGCTCGCACTCGACTTGATGACGAGGTATGTGGCAGTTTCCAACCCCTGAGCACAAGGCTAGATTTGATAATGTGGTCAAGATGGAAACTTTGTCCAGGACGACAGGTAGTGGTGGAAGACTTTCTAGGGTTTGAGATGACCCAGTTGATTCGTTTAGCAAGATGGGAACAAGTAGCAGGCGAGCCTTACAAGGTTTATCTTACCTTGGTGTAAGAGTTCTACACCAACTTTAACGCAGAGTCAGACATTCTGGGATCGAACATATGCACCAGCCATGGATTGGAGACAAATGGATAATGTTCAGGCCAGAAGTGATCGATACTTACTACGGACTAACTAGGGACAATATCGTTCCAGTACCAATGGATCTAGGCATGTTATTTGTTACACAGATGCTATATGGGAGAGATGACACATGTCCGCTTCTAGAAAATGAATTTGAATACTGACATCTGACAGACTCCCTTGTGATCCTATTTAACTTCATCAATCACAATATCGATACAAACTCAAATTGCACCACCATTAGTCATCTGAAGGCTAATCTATTATATCATCTCGCACGAGGTTTTAAGATTGATTGGGATCTATGGTTATTTCGAGTGCTTTTTGGTGTGATTTTTCAGTATTATACAACTTATCTGTTTTCAGATTACAGAATTTAGTTTATTTAATTTACAAAATAAATATTTCAGCTTATAGTACTGTGAAATGATATTTTTACTCATAGTATGATGTCAGATTTATTATATATCTGTTATACCTTACAGTGATTTATTTATAATAAAGGATAAATAATTTTATGATTCCATTATGTTTTAATCTTAAAAGTATTATTAGATTGTACACTTTGTTAAACTTTTAATGGTATAAGTATTTTCAGAAAGTTTGTATAAATAGAAAAAAAAATATTTATTTATGAAATATTCACTGACTGAGTTACAAGCTCGTATATTTTGTCATTCCTTTTCTTATCAGATAGTAGCTAAGTTTAACAACGATGGAGCCTGTTGATTTGCCAAGTTGATCCACGCATTATCATTAGCTGTATAACTTGTTTTGTTGGTTTATATAATTCCCATATTGGAATACATGCGTCTCTTGTCAAAAAGTATATCCATGTCACGGGTTCGCTGTATTTTTGTAAATGTCATGCATTTAGAGTGTAAATATCATTCATGTACACTTTATTTTGAATAGTTATATTCGAGGGGCTAGTGTACGCTATTTTAAATTATATGTACAGATTTGAGAGAATTGACCATTTTCAGGTGGTTTTAGTCTATATTTCTAAATGAACTCAGTCAAAATTTTTTTAAAATTTCGTCACAATCAAAGCAGGTCAAGGTTGCCTTAATGGTGGATTCGGCACTTAGCTGGTATTTACCATCAACGCATTAGACTTGTCGTGCCCATTAGGGTGATTTGGTGTGGGTCGTGTCACTTTTGGAGCGCAGAAAGTTGACATGAACATATTTCGTGTTTATGGAAAACTATTCCATATCAAAGATATTGACACCAATTATACACTCAAAAAACATAATCTTAGAATGTTAACTTCCTCTATTTGAATATAAACATAAAATAATTATCAATTCAAAAGTAAAGTATACAAATATTAAGGATCATTAATCAAATAGTTTTGGCCATACAGCATTAATCTTCATCTAAAAGGATAGCAAAATCATGAGGGATTATTAAATGAGAGTCTTCGCAAAAGTGATGAAGAATATCACCAGGTAGTCCAATCACACAGATCAAGAGAGGATCAAGAGTTCATTAGACGTCTTTCAACTTCAAATCCCAGATAACATCTTCTTGGTCCCATAGATTCAGGACTGGAAGGAGTAGAGAAGTGTGAACCTCAAAAATCAAATTTTGGGAATTCAAGTGTTCTCCTCTGGAGACAAACAGCTTTCGTATTTCTTCTTCTAGTTGCGAAAGCTTCCCAAAGTGATTATAAAGAGTCATTATATCATATGCTATTATAGAAACTAATAAGACAAAACATTACTTGTTTAAAGGTGGAATGGATATCACGAAATATGAATCATTTATCTGAATGTCATAAAATGTGTCAAATGCAAGACTTTTAGCCTTAGAATCCGATTTTTACTAAAATCAAAGCCCTAGGCTTGTGTCAAATATAAGACAGAGTTATTTATTTATTTTCTTTATTTATTTTTTATTTTTTTGTATAATAGTAATTCACAGTAAGTTGATTATAGAAGTTAATAATTTTGTTCCAAAGTGATTACTAAAATTGACTCACTTCAGCATTTCAATTAAACTTCATTAGATCTTTCTGACGTGAAAGATTTCTTCATTAACGTCACTCAAATTATCATCTATTGCATGACGTCAAATTATTGTCTATTGCACAAGACATTTTGTTAGAAACGCAAACAGAATTTAAGAGAGCTACCAGACTAAAATAAAACAAACGTAAAAACATTGTGCAACCACTTCTGTAATCTCGATAAATTAAAAAATTGTGACAATAAATATCCCTTGCTTAGTTTGGACTCGGTGTACGCTCCTTTTCTTATTTGGGACTACAACAATGTAAATTCCCCTTAAGACAGTTTGATAATTGAAATCGAGATGGTCAAAAATTCATTTTGAAAATTATTTTGGTCAAAATAGCAAAAAGATAATGTGCTCCTATTAGGGATTAAAACCTAGTTTTTAATCTAAAGTTAATAATTAATTTTAATAACGTATTTTATGGAAACCACAAATTTTCAACCACATATTTTATCAATTTTTATCAAAATCTACTAAATTATGATTTTAATCCCAACCAAACATGTGCTATATTGCATTTAAAATCTCAATCAAACAAGGCATAATCAAATTCAATCTCCTCAAATATTATGTTGTCGAATGTTGTGTGAACTCCCATCCCCAGCAACCGAAACAAAAAGGAAAGAAAATCTGCACATTGATAAAAAAAGACCAATTGCCCTCCAAAACAATTGAGGATTTCCATACTAAAAAAACATATATAAGAAACAATTTTATTGGGCTTTGAAGGTTTAGGCCAAAACTATATTTTTGAAGGGTAACATTGGTGTGTCCGACAAGCTTCGTTTAACTCGGTATCGCCTCGTTTAACTCTTTTCTTTCAGACTCCGGTATCGCCTCTCCAGTTTTCCTGTAAGCACCTTTCTATGAATACATTTTCCTTGCAATGTGTTTAATCAGTTGCATTTAACTCTCAATAGTTATAAGTCCATTTTCCAGCAAGATTTTTATAACTCTCTTGGTTTTAGTTGTGAATTTGTAGTTAAAAATCAATGTTAGCCTTGACTTCAATCAGGGAAGTTACAATAAAAAATCCACACAAGCCCTTAGTTATGGATTATCTTAAGGATTTGCATGTACGATAAAAAAATAGAGCATTGCTATCTTAAGATCAGTGGGGATCAGCACCACTTTAGGTGATAGCGAGTCCACTTTTAAATGTCATATTTAATTGTGCGGCTTTAGATTGGCTATTGAGTGTATAATTAAAGGAGGGTCTTGTCGCTACTTAGATGGATGAATATCATTATTCAAGGCTGATTAGTGGATTTAAAACCTTGATAAGAATAAATCCTTAGTTGACAGTAAGTGGATTTATAGCATTTGATTACGAAAAGTAATGATTGTATCTACCATTGTCCAAAAATAAAATAAAATAAAATAAAATAAACATAAAAAACTGTTTTGGCTCTGGATTTATTTTATATATTACACATGGGATACTCTTATTTATTTGTTTAGAGAATGATAGCGTGAATACATTTTTGAAGGCTTGGTACATAAACACTGTTACAGATATTGGTGTATACATTAATGGTGACAACAGAAAATACATAAACTGACTTTTTTGTTTCAGTCTCAATTTCTTCTCTTTGCATTTTTTGTTCTCAATTCAGAAGCCAATAAGTAAAACTTTCTCCTTTGCTTGCATTTGTTCAGTTTTGAGGGCCTAAGGATTTGAGAATATAAAAGTGGCACAGATACAGTGTTCCATTTATGATATGGAAGATAAGGAATTAGAGGAATCCAGAATTCAGATAGAAAAGGGAAGGAAACTAAGAGCTGATGATCTACAACTAAATCATTCTTGTGCGTGCATATTCAGAGCAATTTCTACATTGGTAAGTCACATATACAACTAGTTTGTTTTGGTTTCTTGTATCTATGCTCCACATCTAATGGTTCTCACTTGCATTTGGACGTTATTTTGACATTGGTATTAAGTTAACATAAAATATATTAATGGACAGACGACTATCAAAGTAAAAAATAAAAGTTGCTGCCCCGGGAAACAATTCAGTGGTGCAAAGGACAGAAGTGAGGTTATCTCATGCCTTCCTAGCAATCGCAATATGGGGGTTGGATTCCTGAGACATGGAATTGGACCCTTGTAGCTGTAGTGTACAGACAGTTCTTATTCTCTTGCCTGCTAGGGCACATCCCGCGATTTACCTCCCTCACAAAGCTCTAGGGACAGGGCAGTAGGGGCCCTTAAGGTTGGCGTTCAACCTTTAAAAAATAAAAGCTGCTGTTCAGACGTTCATCTCCTACTAGCTATTGATTGTATCTTACATCTTCTGTACACCCATGATGCAAAACCTCAGCCAAATGTTATTTTGTACATAAGGTTTGTCTCCACATTGAGTAAATACTTCTTGTATCTTGCTGATAATTGAATATATATTTGTCACTTGTTTGATGCTTTCTAATCTTTTTTTTTTAAATAGAGTATTGTATGAAAGTATTTTGGACGCAGTTAAAGATTTGCCACATTATTGCGCTGCGATGAGAAGTCCAATGAGATGTGGGATGATTTACTACATTTGTTATGTCTTATTTTTTATTTTTTATCAACACAGGTAATTATGAATATTTATGTTTTTGTTATTAGTAATTGGGTTGAAGTTCCTTTTTATATTTTTGCTTTATTCCAGGGCTATTTGGAAAGCAGATTGTTTGATGTGGTGATCCAGTTGCATGAATATAAAAAAGTTCCTCTAGAGAAGATGGCTATACTGTGGAAAAATAGAAGACTTAATCATGCCTTTTGTTCTTCACCCATACATGAAATGCTTATAAGAAATTTTTATAAGTACTATGGTGAACGTTTTAAGTCGGGTAATTTAGAAAAAACTTGTATGGCCGAATTGAAGATACAAGTAACTGGGTTTAATTGCATGGACGATCAAATTAAGCAAGCTGCTCTTGGTGTGATTTCCAGTGTAAGTTCTAATAATTTATGCGAGGCATTTTCTTCATTATAGATTGTAAGGGTAGGCATATTTATACTAATCAGTGTCTTTATATTTCCTATTGGCAGGCTTCTGAAGTTGATGGGTCGAAGTTTATTGCAGCCTATCTTTACTATAGCTTGTCCGAAAGTTTGGTTTCAACTGGAAAATTAATTGAGGTAATTTCAAAGATATATTGCATCCATAAATGTTTTGTTCATAATCTATTTTGTGCATGTGGAATGCAATTCCATCAATATGAAAAAAGTACGATCATTGGAGCTACATAATAGCTGAGGTGGGTGGGAGTCATAACTTAAAGGGGGGCGTAAAGTAGAGATGTCAATCCGGGTTGTCCGGGCCGGGTCGACCTGCCAACATATGAGTCCCGTAACGGCCCGCGTGAAAAAAAGCCCGCCCGCTACGGGTTTCGGGTCGGCCCACAATTTTGGACTACAACCCAGGCCCGCCCACTAACCCATCCGGGTCAAGCCCATGCGGGTCACGGGTCGCGGTTTGTTCCGATTTGGCCCGTATAATTGTATAAATAAAATTATAAAAATATAGAATTTTTCATATTTATAGCAAAAAATATTTTTTTGTTAAATGTAAACTAAAAATTGAACAAAATGATAAATTCATAATTATATCAAGAAATGTTTACATAGAATTCAAATTTAATGTTACATGAATTATTTACCTACTTAATTATAATTTAGTTGTTCAAAAATTATATATTTGTTTCCCAATCAATCTTCAGGAATTGCAAGATTTTTGAAGTCTTCAGCAACATCATCAATAATTTTATCTTGCATCCTTTGATCCGCGAATATCCAATCTTTCACGCATATGAGAGCTTCCAAAATATCTTCTTAAGTCTAGATCTTCTTTCGTCCAATACCCTGTTACCTGTACTAAAAATAGACTCGGATGCCACTGTTGAGACTGGAACTGTTAGTAGATCTCGTGCCATTTTAGATAATACAGGGTATGACCGCTCATTTAATTTCCACCATCGTAAAATATCTAAATTATCCACTTCATCTTCAGGTATTAAACTATAATGATCAAATTGATAATATCTTTCTAATTCACCAGGTGTGGTATTTGGATTTGCAGTTAAAGTTGTAGATGAAGAACTAAGAACATTACGTTTCTTAGCTATTATGGAGAAAAAAGAAGATTTGCCTTTAGAAGTTGTACTAGAGTTTGTAGAAGAAGAAATATTTTCGTTGTTACCATATTTAATAAAATAGTTGTTATACATTCCATTAATAAAAATATCCAATTGTCGATTTGTAATATTCATGTTAAAAGCTAATGTTTCCGAAAGTGATTCTAAAGCACAATGAACTCCAAACAACTTAATGCGAGGATCCATTACAGCTGCCACTGGAAAAATCAGTGGCATGCTTTCATAATATTTTTTAAACTTTTCCTCCATTGAGTAAATAATTTGAAAGAAAAATGGATCGTCTCTAAATGATGAAAACTGTTCAGCAATTTTTACTAATTGTAAAAGTATAAGATTACTAGTTGGATAATAAACTCTAGAACTAACTTTTGTTGCCTTATACAAAGGTTTCAAAAATTTCATAATTTTAAATGCTTTTTCCCAGTCCGAATTAGTTATATAAAATTGAGTTTGCTTTGAATTAAAAAATGCATTAATAGCATTAGTATAGCCAACACACGATTTTAACATTAAAAAAGTTGAATTCCATCTATTAGGAACATCATCAACAAATTTTCTTCTTCTCAATCCAAAATTTTTACAATTTTTTGCAAATTCTTGTTGTCTAGAATCTAAACAAGAAATATAATTAATAGATTCTCTAATTATACTTATTTGTGGTATTATTAATTTCAAACTATCTTGCACAGCTAAATTATATATATGACAAACACAACGCATGTGAAATAATTTAGAATCATATAGGGGGTGTAACCGCTCTAATTAAAAGCTCAATACATGCATTATTAGCACTTGCATTATCAAAGGTAACACTAAATAGTTTATTTAACACACCAAATTCATTAAGAACTTGTAATAAATTTTCACGCAAATTTACACCATTATGTGGATATTCAAGTAAACGAAAAGCAATAATTCTCTTATGTAATAACCAATTATTATCAATGAAATGTGCTGTAACACAAGCATAACCATTATGATTTCGTCCAGACCAACAATCAGACGTGAAACACATAATTCCATCAATTTTTTAAAGTTCATTTTTTAAATTCTCAGCCATTGTATGAAATAATTTCATAGAATCAAAACGAGCAGTATTTCTACTTACGCTCCTGTAAGAAGGTTGAATGTACTTTTGCAGGAACTCTTCAAAATACTGATCTTCTGCAAATGTGAAGGGCATCTCACGAGCTGCTAAAAATTCTGACATCCCAACTCGCATTCGTTCTTGCGAATAAACAAAATTAGTAAAAGTAACTGATCCACTAGCATTAGTAAAACCAGTAATTTGAGTTTGTCTAGGATCCAAATGTCCTGTTTCATTTAGATGTTTCTCTTTGTGTCTCTGTAGCGTGTCGGTGCCTTGACCATATCTCCAGACATAATCTTTTTTGCAGATATTGCATACTACTTTTCCATCCTTTTCATTTACTGTAAAAATTTGCCACACCTCTAATGTTTGTTTTTTTTCCTTGAATTTTGAGATTATCCAACTTCTACCACATTATCCTCTTCTAAATTTATTGGAGAGCAACTATCATTGAAAATAGGATTTTGAGAAGAAAAATCACGAGAATCCATAATATAGTAGTATTAAACAGTTTAGTAGTGAGAAGAAAAAAATATAATAGAGATGATGATGATATCTGCAATTGAAACTTTGAAAGTGAGATAAATATTATCAATTAATTGGAATTTATAGATGAAATCCGATTTTACCCTTAGAAAAAAAAAATTAAATATTAGCCCCTGTTTGCGCCCCATTATATCTCATTAATTTCATTTTTCAACCCAACTTTTTTGACTAAAGTAGGCCCATGTCTGCACACAGGTACAAACCGGCAGAGGAAATGATCGTTGGAAATTGTAAGGACCAAAACCACCTCCACTTTTAATTATTAATTTACAAAATTACCCCCCAATGCATAGCCCCTTTGTTGACACCTAATATTGTAGGGTTACTGTAGTCTTTTAGTCATGTAGATTAATTGTTTATTCAAAGCCAATTTCACACGTGAACTACAATGTCAGTTGGCCTTGACACATGAGGCCCACGTGTGGTTGAAAAAATGGCAAAAAGTGGTTTGGTAATAAGATATAATGAGGCTCAAAGCTTGCAGGCTACGCCTGTTGCAAGCATAGCCTGCATGCATGCTGGCAGGCAGGTGCTAGAGAGTACCTGCCTTCCAGCTTGCTAGCAGGCCGAATGGCTCCCCCCCTTTTTTCAAAATTTTTTAATTTTTTTTCACGGGCTAGCGGGTTAACCGCGGCCCGTGAAGGTGCAACCCGCGAAACCCACGGGTCACACCTCCTTGACCGGTGAACTGCCCGTTCGGGTCACGGGTCGGTCTGCGGTCTCGAGTCGATTCGGGCCGATTTTCACGGGTCTGGTCAGCCCGTTCGTCTTGACACCTCTAGCGTAAACTAATCATCTTGCGAAGGTAGGGTTGGACAAAACTCTCGGATCGAACCCGAACGGAACCGACTAAACCGAGCAGTTCTTCTTAAGTTAAATACCCGAACATGTATCTAAATCGAGAATCGATGGATTCGGTTCGGTTCTCGATTTTAGATCAATAATCGAAAAATCGACTCTCCCTAATTGTTTAATTTATTTATTTTAAATAAGCCAAATTATTTTATCTTTTCTAAACAAATTTGTTAACTAGTTAAATTAGCTCAAATCCAAAAATATGATTTTTCCTATTTCTAATTTTCAGTTAAAAGTCAATTTAATCAAATTGATCTAAGTTTTATCCAAATTCGTTACTCTGCCATAATGTTGTTTCTATCATTCTTGAAAAATTGAATTGAAGCTCGACAATGCCTCTTTTAATTATTATGAGCTTGTTATCTTCCTTTTTCCTGAGATTTTAACAATCAAATATATGAAGAACTTAGCAAAAAGAGACGCACATCATACTTGTATAACCACTATATATATTGAACAGAAAATCATTTTTATAGTCATCATGTACATTGGATTTTACATACTGCGAAAAGCTTCATTTTTATAGTCATCATAAAAATTGAATATAATATCCTATTTTACACCTATGTATTCACATTCATCTCAGATAAAACATGATGGAACTACAGGGAGGTTAAAAATCAAGATTTTGACGGTCATCATAAAATAAAACGTGCTGGCTTATTTTACATCTATCTATTCACAAATTATCTCAACTAAGACCTAATGGACATATGATAATGCATCATGCAACATGCGTATGAGATTTTACATACTACATATCTTCAAAATATTTGGCATACACCTTAACAACTTATTAGTACATTGCATCGTGTGCAATGGAAATAGAGCAAATTGAGCCAAGCAATGTTCAAGCAAACCAAAAATAAGTACATGTGGTTTGTTGTAAAATTTGGAACTTCATCTTCAAATGACCTCTTACCCCACTCCTCCAATCTGTTCTTCATCCCCATACATTTAGAATTGGTGTCCACAGCTCTTTCACCTGATGAACGGGTAATACAACGATGAGGAGTGTTGACGAGTTCATTTTTTGGCATGACAGTCTCATCGAACTTGGATGGAGCACCTAAATGCATGGAACCCATTGACAATCGGCGTTTCAGCGTAACCACGACTAGAGTCTCCTCGACATCTCGAAGTACCCATACAAAGGCCAGTGAAGATTTAGTCCTTTCTACTGCCATGGTGGAACATTCATAAAATTCGAGTGGTATCGAAACAACGAAAACTGAAGAAAGGCTGGTTAAGGGTATTACACGTCAGGCTAGCGCTTTATACACTTGACATGTACCGAATCAACGGCAAACTGAAGAGTCAACTGGTTTTAATGAGTGATACAGTGTAAAATATCGTCGGCGATAGATCCGTAGAAGATCGAAATGGGGATTTGGCAAAGGTAATTTCTGTAGAGGGTGATTTGGGAAAGATAAAGTTTTGGGGATGATTCTTAATGTCAAACTCAATGTACTTGTAGCATGATTCTTTTTGAATAGGAATGTGAAAGAACACTAATTCAGGGATTTTATTCTTTGATTGATCGTAATACGGGCGTGTTTGTTGTTTGCGAGTTTAAGGGTGTCTTTTTTATGGAGTAATCTTTGCTATGTGATGAATTGTATATTATTTTGACA